TTCTGTTCCGGTTTGTCTATTGGTACTAGATTTGATAGCTATTCCAAAGATAGCAGCATATACTATGGTAATCATTTTAATTTCCTAATAACTTAATCTGAAACCCTATATTGCTTTCACTGCCTTGTTTTGACTGACTTTATTTGAATCTGTCTTGTTCGACCACTGTTTGTCTTGACTGATTTTATTTGAATCTGTTATGTTTGATAGTATCAAGTCTGAGAGTATAGGCAACTATTCTGAAGACAATAAGGTTCACCCTGATACCCATTCTGGCTTGACTATTACCCTCTTTTGAAGTCCTATAATGTCTCCATTTTTTTTATTGATTCTGTTCCATACTGCTATATTCACTTTTATTATACCTGATGATTTAGGCAATTCTACTGAAAATAACAAGAGACATCATGGTAACCATTGTAGATCACCTTATATTGTGGTTTTAAATTATGTACTATGTTCATACTTTTGTTTTGAATGACCCTACTTTGTTTCTTGTTTTTTTTTAATTTGGTTTTTATTCTTTTCAAAATAAAAACAAAGTCAGCCAAATATCTTCCTCTGTACTTCCCTTTTGCAACTCCACAATAACTCCCCACTCCCTAGGCCTTCAGAGGCCTGAAATTTTTAGAATGATCCCAATCAATGCCCATAGACATAAAATAAATCTGCCTCCAAATTCTGGATGTCATTTAAGTGTTTCTGCTTGCCGCTGTAGCTATGTCTATACCACCTCACACAAAATTCTAGCTTTTATTTCGATTTCTATTTGGAAGTTGGACATAAGTATATCAACCTTAAATATTTATGGTGGTTAAAACATCAAGGTCAGAGCAGTGACTTGACAAGTAAAGTTCAGTTCACAGACCACAGAGTTTTTGTACTCGTATGTAAAAATCCTACTATAAAATCTATTTAGGAGATTGAAAGTTAATAACCCTTTGGATAGTATACTCAAATATTCTTACATCTCTTCATCTGATCTCAGACTGAAAACAATTCAAGTGCAACTAGCTACTCATAGTTTTAATCTTCAGAACGTCTTGGATTTACTGAATTATGACTCTTCATTTTCCTCTGTTCTTTTTAAAATCAATACAAATATATTTCTTTATGTCTTATTAAACTGGAAGCTTATTAAAAGTAATACTTCAAAGTTGACCCAGAAACTAGCTTCTCAAAAACTGTATTATTTTCTGTCATACATAGATGCCACAAAAATGTCACTAGTGATACAATACAAAAGAGCTGAGAAAAACTGAGAAAAACTCAGAACTATTCTTAGGCAGCAAAAAGTAAGAATTTAATGTGAAAATTTTCTAGAAAAACTGTTGATCAAGAGGGTCTTGCCCATTCGACCATAAATATCCTAGTATTCAATGTCATTATTGATCATGTCAGTGTAATTAGTCAGTGTCCCTGAATAGTATACTTACAATTTAATTTGTGAAAAACATTCTCACATACATGAATTTTCCCTTAGTTTATCAAGAGTACAACTACTATTCCACTGCAGCAACATGATTAAAACCCATCCTTCCACCTCAAGCAAACTAATGCATTCTCCACAGTGGACCAAGTGAGGAACCATTGCATTTCCCAAGCTGAGGAGGTCAGATTTGTACAGGACATGACTTCTGGCTCTGAACACAAAGGCAATGGAAAGCAGTTTCAGGAAATAATAAAAACATAGTGATATCTGTCAACACTAGATGGATTCCTGGGCAATAAACATTTCATATTTCATGCATATATACTAATAAGCAAATTTTACTAACTGAGCTTGCAGTGTTTTTTGGGGCAGTGGATTTGTCCCAAGGTATAAGACACATGTCTCAGATAGAGCCACAGAAGACGAACAGGATCAAGTCAAGACAAAGGAACAGATGGACTCTTCAAATTTTAAGAACACTAAGACCATGTGCCTTGAAGAAATAGAAATCTGCAGCCATGAAAATTGTTGAAGTATAGCAGTGTGCCTTGGAGGCACATTTGTTTGTCAACAAGGGAGGAACTGAAGAATCATTAGAGATTAAGAGAGAGAGAGAGAGAGAGAAAATACCAATAAACAAGAGTTTAAAATATCTTCCCACAAAAAGACTATTTGATGGTTCAAATGTATTCTTAATATCAAATTTTGCAACACACAGATTCTTCCAGCTTTGAAATAAATCAACACTCTAAATATGATTGTATGAATAGGTCTTAGATTTTTATTCAAGCAGCTACTGCAAAATGATTCTGCTATTGAAAATTGAAGCAACACCTGCCTTCATGGTTAGTTAGTTGAAAACATCACTCCCTATAAAAAAAAGACTGCCACGTCTTCAGGCAAAATATGACAAAGAAAAAAAAATAACATTCTAATCAGACAGAGCTAATTGGTCTTAAAGCATGTGTACCATTTATCAATTTATTGCTTTTCAACTCTAAATTCCCCTTCATTACATGTTCTACAACAAATGTGGGAAGATTGTACCTATAAATAAACCTTTTTCAAGTGGGGGTGCATTAGCACCTAATCACTTTCATTATATGGTACTTATGAGACATTATAAGAGACAGTGACTTTAAGTAGTTTCCTGCTGTGGGGAGGTAAGCAGTGTTGCTGAAGACATCTAGTAGAATCTGTGCAAGCCACTGATCTAGAACATAACCTTACTGTGGCCTTGCAACATCCTAGGCTTAGTCATGGAAATCAGGGCTCCACATGTTAAAAGCTTCCTTAGAAGGCCTTCTGCCATACTAGCACCTGGACTCCTTCTGTGACCTTCCAACAGCCATCTGACTGGAAAGTCCACACTCCAAGCAATCTTTCAGGTCCCCACCACCACTCAGGCCCACAAGCACTACAGTCTCACTGTCTCACCTGGCACCAGGCACTGCACAATCACACCACTAACAGCTGGCCACCTGCTCACCTGCCTAACCCTCTACCCATTTCTTGTCCAGAAACAGCAGACCAGGTTAGGCCTGATCAAGCCAGTGAACATTTCAGCTACACAGTGGATTGAATGTCTTCAACAAGGTCGAAACTTAACTCCTTCCCAGTTTGTCTATCCCTCAGCCCTAGAATATTGTAGTGCTTCTTTATATTATATAGTTTCCTTTTGATAACAATTAATAATTCTTCATATGAACTCATCTTGTTTAGCCTATGGTGGGCTCTGCCCCTTGACTATACCCAAATTACTATAATTCAGAAACTAGGAAATAAAACAAACCCTAAAATCAAGGAATATGTAACTTACTAAGTGTTATATTTCAGACAAATATAGAAGGTAATGTTAATATCATTTATCATTTAAACTTCAAGGAAATTCACAACTGTGTACCATTTGAAACTCAGGAATATTAAATAATTGTCAACTTTGCATAATCCAGTAAGATGTATGAATGGAATTCAAATCTTTATTCATCTTAATACAGTTTAGCTTATGAAACAAAATATTTATGAGGTTATATATTTATAGTTATAGTTATTTTTATGTGTCTATGTATCTATCTAAATAATGTGTGCCCTACAGATAATTATGTTTAGAAAAAAGATAATTGATTAACAAAAATAGCAAGACTTAGCAACTGATCAGGTGGAGTAGTGAACTATTAATAGAATATGGAAAATCAAACTGATCATAAACGTTTGTTAAAGCTTGTATTTTGGTTTATACACCCCCAAAGCCTCATTTGCTTTTAAGTGGAGCTACAGAAAGGTGATTGGACTATGAGTGAGTGATAGCCAAAAGTGCTGTTAGGAGGGGGCCCTGGTTAGAAGAGGCAAGTAACTTGAGGCACGACCTGGAAGGGTTTATTTCCCTCCCTGGTTCTTCTCTTCACTGTGCTTCCTGGTTTCCATAGCATGAGAAATTTTTTCCCTGTTGTGCCCCTCTACGATGCTGCTTACCATGCAAAGATTGAAACTTCCAGAACAAGAGTTAAACTAAAGCTCTCCTCTTTTAATTTGAGTATCAGCTATTTTGTCCTAGTGACAAGTAAGTGACTAAAACATGTTGGATGACTTTGCACTTTCAGTGGAATTTGGTGGCTTGGAAACTAGGAAATTAAAAAGAAAAAACCTAAAATCAAGAAATATATAATTTATATAACTTACTAAATGCTATATTTCAGACAAATATAGTAGGCAATGTTTAATATTTGGCACTTCTTAACAAAGCCATGAGAGGAAAAAACATCAGTTAGTCACGGCATTATGAATATGTAGCATAAATTAATACTACTAGAGTCAGAGATATTTCTGAATGCTTGATGTAGACCTGCTGAGGGGCCAGCATAGGGTTTACCTATGGTCCTGTAGAGAATCAATAGGATTTATTTGTCTCAAAAAGAACATTCCAAGAATTTGACATCAGACTGTATAAAAGGGATTGATAAAAAGACAAATCTAAAGATTGGTAACCTGTTGTAGAAGGGTCTCTGAAAATCTTTCACAAGAAATAAAATACCTTCAAGCATCATGAATCATAACAAGAACACTAAAATACAATTTTACCAACAGATATACTAAGGTAAGTGAAGAATGGTATTTGGTATCTCTAGGGGTCTATAATTTTTCTGAATAAAAGAGAAAAAAGACTAGGAGGACTTTCTTCTCTTTGACACAGAGATTGGCCTGAAAGACTGCAGAAACTCTTTGGCTATTATGCTCATTGCCTGGAGATGAGTGTCAGCTGTAGAACCCAAAACTGCTCAGGCTAACGCACAATTCCACATAGCAGTTATAATACTTGGTATTGTACTTTATAGAAAATTTAGAGATCAGAATTCTTCTGTAAGCTTAGCTTCTTGATATTCTTCCACATTTATTTGATTGCCATCATAGATAACCAAAACACAACTTCACCCAGACAGAAAAGGTGTCCTAAATTTGATCATTTCCACAAGAACCAGGTACTTACACAATAACAGAACACTTCCCGTGCTGCCCAGGCAGGGGTCCATACATACGGCGTTGTTCTTGGTTTTCATTGTAACTTAACATTCACAATGTCCGGAGCCCTTGATGTCCTGCAAATGAAGGAGGAGGACGTCCTCAGATTCCTTGCTGCAGGAACCCACTTAGGTGGCACCAATCTGGATTTCCAGATGGAGCAGTATATCTACAAAAGGAAAAGTGATGGATTCTACATCATAAATCTGAAGCAAACCTGGGAGAAGCTTCTGCTGGCAGCTCCAGCCATAGTGGCCATTGAAAATCCTGCCCACATCAGCGCCATATCCTCTAGGAACACCGGCCAGCGGGCTGTGCTGAAGTTTGCCGCTGCCACTGTAGCGACTCCTATTGTTGGCCACTTCACTCCTGGGACCTTCACTAACCAGTTCCAAGCAGCTTTCCGAGAGCCACGTCTTCTGGTGGTTACTGATCCCAGGGCAGACCACCAGCTCTTCACTGATGCATCTTACGTCAACCTGCCTACAATTGCTCTGTGATCAAGGAAGAATTTAAGGGCAAATGGACTGCACCAGCCCCATTAAAATTCTATTCAATGCTGCTCAGCCTGAAGGCATGCAGGTGCCCTCTGTGCCCATCCAGCAGTTCACTACCAAAGACTGGAGTGCTCAGCCGGCCACAGAAGACTGGTCTGCATCCCCACCGCGCAGGCCACTGAGTGTGTAGGAACCACCACCACCGAATGGCCCTAAGCTGTTCTGGAAACACTTCAGCAAAGTGGGAATGAGGTTGATAAAAAATAAAATACCAGTTTCTAAAAATAAAAATAAATAATAATAATAATAATAGAGGAGATAGATTTCCTAGCATACATTTTGAATTTGCAACATAGTAAGCATACTATAATCTTACCAATAATAGCAAACAGAAAGAGAAATAGAACTTGAACTCAAAAGAGAATGAAAACTCATCTGTAAAGAAAATATTATATTACACAGAAGAATATCAGTGAAAAAATATTTAGTGGTTCTAGTTAAAGATATAGTTATCTATATCTACTATATCTATATCTATTTGGTGGTGAATACCTTGTTCTGCGAGGATTCTGCAAGAGAAGCAAATATTTCTAATAAAGTTTAACTTATTTTAACTTGATAAACAAGTGACATCTCACTGGCTAGCAATACGAGTAGTACATGACACCAAATGTTGCATGATCACAACTGAGCCACTGGTTTCTCTCCTCCCTCCAGGAGATTGCGAGTGATTGTCTATCAACAGCAAGGGGTCATGGGCGAGATCACATCTGCAAAGGAGGAAAAAGAAAAGGTGGAGGAGTCCCTCACTTCAGATGAGAATGAAGTGATGTGTTAAATGTGGGAAACAGTACAAAATTTTATGCAAAAGCACTGCCCATGGAACAGTGTGAACAATCTGTTTAATTACAATACAATGTCACATTTCCACAAAACCTTCAAAAGGAGGGAAAAGAAAATGTCAGTGGATAGGTTCCTTGTTAAAGTTCCATGAAACGGATTCCACTGAGCCAATAAATAGGAGTGATTCCGTTGGTGATGGTGACTACTACACAATAACCCTCCTCTGCCTTACTTCAGCCACAAAAGTTTTCTAAGATAAGTGTAGGTTAAATTATTTTTTTCTTTATATTTTGTAGTATGGTAATTATTTTTATTTGAATAGTTTTGGGTGTGGAACAATGCGTCTGCATTTCCATTATTTTTTATGGAGAAATTTGCTTTGACATTCAAATGTTTTGGATTACAATAATGTTTCCAGTCTCTACTATAGGACATATAGTTTGTTTTGTCAACAGTATAAAGGTACTGCAAAGAAAATTGCTGCAATCAAATATTTTTGCACACTGCTAATTATTCTTTAGGATAAATTTCTTTAAAGGAACCTTCTAAGATCATGCACATTTATAAAGCTGTTGCTAAGTACTAGCATATTGTCACTCAGAACATATTGGGCGTGTCCATTTCCCTCAATACAAATGGATATTGTTTTTGTTTATATCTTTATCAAATCGTTTTGTCCACAGCTGTTAATTTTTTTCTCTGATTACAAGCGAGAAAATAAATGCTTAGGGATAATGCCAGTGACTTTCCAAAACCTTATTTTTTAATATCTATAGTTAAGGTGTCCAATACTTTTTAAAATGATTAGTCAAGTAAATTAACCTATCATTTTATGTAGTTACCATTTTTGTTTGTATGCTAAGGATTCTGCAAATCCAATCTCTAGGACATATCCATTGTACAACACAATGGTATTAACTGTAGTCCTCATTCTGTACATTAAATCTCTAGATTTATTCCTTATTCAGCTTTTATTCTCTTTTGAATATTTTTCACTTTCTCCTTCCAAAATTATTGTAACTTTAGTGTCAGTATTATGAAAGATAGCTTAAAGAAATCCCTGACATGTCTCTAAAAATAACAGTGGGAAATTCTTGTTTCCTTAAATAGTAATGTAAGATATTCCATAGAGAACTCTGACAAGATACCTATAACTTAGGAAGGAGCATGCATCTGCAATCCAAGTCCATTTATCACTGAGCACTTGGAAGCATAGGTGATTATTTTTAAACATGAATCAAGATTCTTCTGTGTCAAAAATAAACCATTGTTTTACAGATGGAATTGTAAATATTTTTGAAAAGATATATTTAGGGCTTGAGATGACCTTTGGAAGGAATAGTTTCTCTGTCAGCTAGCTTCTTATGGTAAAGTAAGTGAGTATGGATTAATAATTTAATGTACAATACTTTAAGGCATGAACTTTAGCTAGATGTTTTTTATGGAAGTCCAGAAGCCCAATTTGGAGCCTTAGGTCACATATCTTGCCAGGCTAACAATACTGAAGAAAAAACCAAACTTCTTTCAATTACTACTTTGAGGTCACTTCCTTTCCTCTCATTGAGGAAAGACCAGGTATTACATGATTATAGATAAAACGTACAGATAAACCTGTCTCAAGTAAACTGAAATATTTTGAAGATTTTTATTAGTATTTTAAATGATAAATAATCATATACCATACCTTTCTTTTTTAAAATTGAGGTATATTTTATAAAAGCTTGCATACATTTAAATTATGCACTTTGATAATTTGATATACATACACATTACCAAAAAAATCACCTCAAGTCATTTGATACATCTTCCCCATCAAGTGCTTCTCTCTGTCTCTCTCTATTTCTCTTTCAGTCTCTCTCTCTGTCTCCCTCTCTCATGCATGTGTTAGGCCAAGTATGTTCTTCTCTGTTAGAAATTTCAGGGATACAATAAAATTTTATAGTCATATAATATTAACATACTTTTTAAGTTTCCAGCACTTATTCATCATGCACAAATAAACCTCTGTGCACCTTGACCACTAGGTCCCTGTTTGCTCTTCTGACAACCCCTTTCAACCACCATTTTACTCCCTAAATTTGTAAATCTGACTTTTTATAATCTACGTGTAAATGACATCAGGAGTATTTATCGTCTACATCTGACTTAGTTTTAGTTAGCACTAATGTCTTACAGATTATCCATACTGTCATAAAGATTTTCTTTTTCTAGCAGAATAACATAAATGAATAATGGTCTGTGTGTGTGTGTGTGTGTGTGTGTGTGTGTGTGTGTGTGTGTGTGTGTTTAGATACATAGAAATATAGATTCATAGTGTGTTCAAAATATGCCAAGAAGATTTAAATTGTTTTAAAATTTAATATGACAAACAAATTACTATTAATCTCCCTTAAAATACTTCTCCCTCTTCAAACATACATTCCATCATTCATGGCTCTTTCTGAAGCAATTCAGAAGTCCTCTTTCACAGATGTTTTTATATGTATGTGCTGTCCTGGCTGCCTTTCTGTCATGGTTTATTTCAAAACATTTATCCTTCACGGCTATTTTTACTTTGGAGAGAGCCAGAATTAATAGTTCCAAGTTCACTGAATAAGATGAATGAAAGAATATTTCACGATACAAAAATCACTCAATTTAATTAAATATATTTGCCACCCTCCTCCCAAAATACTATCAGATTAACTCAATAACTATCAGATTAACTCAATAACCATAAGATTAACTCAATAACGAAAGATTTTATCTCCAACTATGTTATAAAAGGCAGCTTTACCCTAATACAATGGAATTTTGAAATGTTATCATTTTCCGGCACTCAGATGAAAGCAAAATATTATTTATTTATTTATTTATTTATTTATTTATTTATGTATCAGGGATCAAACTCATGACCTCATGCCTGCCAGACAGGCACTTATGAAACCGAGCTAAATTCCTGGCCTTAAAGTAAAATATTTTTTAAAACATCCTGAAAACATTTCATTTTATACATGTAATTAAAGTTTGTCAGTCATGGCTTATATTGATTCTGTGATAGAATGTAGCTATTTTAGTGATATAAGTACAGTGCTAATGAACTTTATTCTTAAGGAAATAACACAGCTGCTGTGTGGACTAGAATCTAGGAGGACCACTGAGTCACCATGCAATGTCACTTAAATTGAAATCAACATTTATTGCTGGCAGAGCAAATAAGAAATGGTGTCTAGGGAAGAGACTTCCATAATTTTTATTAGTTCTTTCAGTGCTAAACAATATAAGTTAATAAAACAGCTTGGAAGGAGTTCCCTAGCCCCTCTCATGCAGATTTTCCCTCTAAAGTCTTTCATCATTAGAATTTGTAGGGTTTGCCATGAGCATATTGCATTGTTTGTTCCTACCCAGCATTTGTTCCTAAAAGGATCCCAAGGAACCAAGAGAACATATCAATAACTACTATTCATACTACATGTTTAAGCAATATACAGAAACTTTTTTAGGATGTAATCTTTTAATACACTAGAAACAAATGTCATTTCATAACCATATCTACACATGTAAATTGTATTTTTCACTCTTCTTCACAATAGTTTCATCAATTCCTAGGTACATTAATTGTGAACACTACTGAGGCATCCATATAAACAAAACTGTTTTGGGTGACAGCGATATTTTAAAATTGATTATTCAAGAGGCAAGTGCAGCAGAACATGACAGGTTCATCAAGCTCTGCCAATGTGCCTGACTTCATCCTCATGGGGCTGGTGGAGTCTGAAGAGACACAGCTTGTCTTCTTCCTGCTCTTCATCCTGATCTACCAGCTGGGGAACTGGGGATGATACTGATCATTCGCCTGGGTCCCTAGTTTTACACCCCAGGTACTTTTTCCTCACTTATCTGTCATTTCTACACCTCAGCTCCTCAAGTGTCATCACCCCTAAAACCTTACAGAACTTGCTGACTTCCATCAAAATCATCTCATTCCTGGGATGCTTCAGTCAGTTGTACTTTTTATAGTCCTTGGTACTGCAGAATATTTTCTTATCTCCTCTGTGGCCCGTGATCGCTACATAGCTATCTGTAGCCCTCTCACTATTCAGTCATCACGTCCACAAGATTGTGCCAAGCTCTGCTAGCTGACTCCTGTGTTAATGGCTTTGTAGATTCTGCTGTTAATG